GGACAATACGCGTAGGCAGGCGTCAATCTACTGTTGGATGGATTAAGCCTTCCACACGCCGTGTCTGCCAATGAAGTTATTTTGACCGTACATGGTGACCACGCTCGTTCGTGCGGGTTGTTGACGCGAGGCGTGGGGGCGAGGCTGGAAGAGCGGAACCGGTTGGGGTGTCGAACTCAGGCGCGGGGTTCGCAGCGCGGTGGGCAAACCACCGCGGTGCACGTCGCACCTTCCAACGAGCACGCTTGGCTTACGTACGGTGGCGAAAGAAGTTGCACATCACGTAGACGCACGTGCGCCGTAAATCGGCATCCTTGTGTGCGCTGTGGACTCGATCGCTTGACACAGCCGCGTGCTGAAACCGACGTCACGTCGGGGAGGGAAGCGAATCAGCGGGGTGTTCGATTACAAACGTGGGGCACCTTTCCCGGAAGGAACTTTCACGGACGATTGTATATTCCGCACATCAGCTGCGTACGGAGTGCATCGGCGTCCTCATCATAAGCGGTCATGTTCAATCCACTGCTGGACGAAGGACTCCCCAAGCCGCCGCCAGAGTCCTCCACGATGTGCCAACCCACGAAGCACCTCCACGCGAGCTGATTTCACCTCCTGAGCTGGTGGGGTTACGTCTGCGCGGTCATGTGTGTGTGTGTGTTCCTACTAATGTCGACTTAAGTTATTTTTTTTACAGCCCTCACTTGTATCAGCGGAAGAAGTCATCACGGGCATCCTCTAAGCCGATTCAGCCTTAATTTGGTCCCGTGGGTAAATTTCAGCACTGCGGAGACAAAGGCGGTCGAGCGTGGTTCTGGCCACCCCAACTCGCGCTCCAATCCCGGCCTTAATAGGTTTCTCGCTAACACAATTGCCCCCAACAGTTCTGCATGGTTACGCGAGCGATCCGTGCTCGTAAATTCCCCGTGTGGACACTCTTCACGCGTGCATTCAAAGGCAGGGCGCAGGTAACGAGCTCCCTGCTGGCGACAGAACCAGCATTGATTCCGCGCACGTTTACATCAAGATTCGCGTAATCATCGCCGCCAGCCATGGCCTATCCACTGCTGGATGAAGGACTCAACCGCGCCGCCGTCTGCCGCCTTCCCTCACGCTCCCGAGACATCACAATCCATCTCACTCGTGCACGTTCACCGATCGTCCTGTCGCTCCATCTCCTGTCTCTTTGGCTAACATTTCGTTCGCCAGCTGCTTCGACCACCTGGGCGATCCTCGCCTTCGGAACGCGACGTGGGCTCTTGCCCGCTTTACTTTTCTCCGCTGACTTGACTGACTGACGTCTCTGATCTGCGTTTGTCCGACGACACAAACGTCGTGATTTGTTTTAGTTTTGTTTTATTTGTGATTTATTTCGATTTAGTTTTCTTTCTGCGTGCGTGACTTTACAGAAAGAACCAATGAGTATGACTTACGGTTGTTGTTGTTTGACTTGCATCCCACTGGGATTTTTGCGCACAGCGTTGAAATGCGGTGTTTTTTTTTTCTGGAAGACTTTTGCTGTTTTTTTTTCCCCTGGATTTTTTGTTGTGGCGTGTAGTCACTTTAAGATGTTTTCTTGTTCGTGTTTTTGTTTGTTGCGGTTGCAGCCGAGTCAGGAGCCGCATGGCTCGCAGGGTTAAACCGAATAAATGAAACTGAAACAGAAATATATGCGGTCGGACGGCGTCCGTCGATTCAGCAACTCGGCAATAAACAACCGCTTAGTCTCGCATATTTGTCGAGGGGTGATTTACACATTCTCGGCGGCGTTTATCCAAACAGGCTACAACTTGCTGAAGAGGCCGGCTAACGTTGAAACCGGGTTTTGAGCTGCTTAGTCGAAGCCCGGAGCATTTTCAGTGCACTGGGAATCCCGATGAGGAGGGCTCGTAAGGCCCAGAAAGTCAACGACGCCATCAGCGTCTCGAGCGCGGTGGCGCGCGAGACGGCGAGCCCGTGGGGTTGACGGATCACGCAAGGATCAGCGCGTGTCAGTGTTCCCCCCCCCCCCCCGCCCCGCCCCTCCACAATAAAAATGCATCTCGAGTCTATCGGTCTGTTGGCTTCCAGACACACATAACGCACGCATTACGTGGGCCACTGTCCAATGTGCGCGGATTTTGTCCCGGGTCGCATTCGTTTTTCTCCCACGCGAAAACAAAAATGTACTCGATTATAAATGTTCAGTGGTCTCCGACGCTTACCTGGGTAAGTGAAACGGTATCATTAATACGTTTAATTACATATGGGCACACACACACACACACTCATAGAGGGATAGGTAATGCATTATAAATAGACAAGGATCCGTTTCACCACGCAAAAAACAAATGACACATCGGCCTATCGGCCTTTTATGAGCCAATATTTCCCAGCATTAATTTGCGCACGGAAACTCTCAAGACCGGGTTCCACTTCCCAGAGTTGCATCAGTAGGGTTGCGTCCTCTCGTCAGAGTTCACCGAATGCTGCTGCTGCTGCTGCGTGTCGGTGTTGCATGGCCGTCATCGGCGGTACGTTCAATGCAGCGCATCGACGCGGTGCGGGCATAGAAAGTGTGTCGTTTCTGATGTAATCGAAGCGCGCGTCTCTAAACCCTCCTCCTCCTCCTCACCCCAGCAGCTTAAGGCAGACCACATGAAAGGCGCGCGGGTCTCGGGCGGAGCGCTGCGTGCGAACGAACCCCCCCCCCTCCCCCACCACCCCCCCCGGGTCCATCTGGGTTCGATTCCCCTCGCTACGGCTACTAGCATTCGTGCAAACATTGTAACCAGACCTGTCATGTCTGGGCCTTCCCTAGGTCGACTCCGCCATGAATGGGTGTACCTGCCGTGATGCGCAAACATCAGCACTATGAGGGAGACTAAAGCGGTCAGGTGTGGGGGTGGCAACATCCCCCCCCCCCCCCCCACCTCGCCAACAACACTTTGCCCCAATTTATTTACGTCTGTACGGGCGATTGTTGCATTTATTCATTTGTTGTGTACAGACTTTAAATTCATTACAGCAATTAACGAACTGTTGGCCAACGTGATCTCACCGGATACAACACGGCCGCGTATGTCACAGCAATTTTAGAACGTTTGACTGTGCCATAAACTTTACGAACGATATTATTTTTATAATTGCACGTGAGTTAACCAACTTGAAATATTCCCACGAAGCTCCCTTGTGCGGCCGGGCTAATTCGTATCTTCATTTAACCGCATCTCAACGGATGAATATTTCTGGGGGGGTTTTTTGTCGTGAACGATTTTGTTCGCACTCTGTTGCCAACTTCTCGTGAACTGTGTCCTCTAGGCCCACGATCGCGACTGACTCTTTGCCTACAACACGGGGAAACTAAGCGGTATATGCCTGACGGGTCACAACACCGCTGATGAGACTCAGAAAAAGTTAAACCAATCCAGGAGTTGCTTAAAAAAATCAAATTTAGTCCAGAAGCCTCACATAATCAATGGACTTTGATTATCCTTTTTTTAAAGTATCAGTATGAACTTCCAGAAGCACGTAACCCCTGCACACGAGCTGACCGTTTCATCGCTCCGTCTGCTCGATTGACGAACACCTCGGTGGCATCTTCCCTTATTTTTTTAAAAAGAATATTAAACTGCCCCCCCCCCACCTCTTATTTACTCTGTCGATAAGATTAGACAGACATTCTTCATTTAAACAGACGCCTTCCGTGTTGGCGAAGGTAACCCCTGTCTGTAACCCAGTTGTCCTTCGATGCAAGCGTTCGTGAATCTTTGCGAAACGTGTGTGAGACTGCGAGGGGGCCAGGAGGTAGTGGCCACGGCAGGTGGATTCATCGTGGGGGTTGTTCTCCGGGCACTCTGATTGCTTCACTCGCACGCAGCAAAGCGCTCCTTAAAATGGTTAATCGTATAAACAGACCTCTCTATTCGTCTCTGCTATTTAAAAACAAAACAAAAATCACCTGGACAATGTTGGTGTGCAAAGCCAATATTATCTAACTGCATTTGATGAAATTGCAAACTCTGGATCAGATGACTCATTAAACGAGAATTGGCCAAACGTCTCAATGCATGACCCTGCTGAAAGGTGTTTTGAGGCACATTAGGGCTAAATGACAGCCTCTTGTTTTGGTTGTTCACCCTCGGATGCCTACACTTCCCAGTGCTCTGTTTAGGAAGCCCCGTACCACCACGAATGCTTATTTTCTCACGGAATCTGACTCAATGACCTCGAAATGCAAACATACAGGGTGGCCCACAAGTCACAAAGGGTTATTTAATTTATTGTAACACATATTTAATCTGGCTACCATTAACATAATACGTGCGTGAATTCTCTTTTGAAATAAATGTAGCACTTTTTTATATTAGCACTTTTTGAACATTCATTATGTTGTGTTGTCTCAATTAATTCAGAGTCCTCGGTCGAGTTTTATAAACAACAGATTTGAGGTGACCCCACAGGGAGAAGAAAGTAGATATTATAGATTAATAATAATGATGAATCGAATGTTAGCTGGTAGATATTCATAGTAATAATAATAATGATTCATCGAGTGTTAGCTGGTAGATATTTATAGTAATAATAATGATGAATCGAATGTTAGCTGGTAGATATTCATAGTAATAATAACGATGAATCTAATGTTAGCTGGTAGACATTCATAGTAATAACAATGATGAATAGAATGTTAGCTGGTAGATATTCAGAGTAATAATAATGATGAATCGAATGTTAGCTGAAATAATGAACTGATTGAAATGTTTTAAAGCCAGTGTTAAAATAAATGAAGTAACCACACGTGTCCTGACTTTTGGGCCACCCTATATAATATCACAGGTGTTGCATAAAGCCGCGCAGTAGCGCGTAACACCGGTATTACAATACCATCATCGTGCCAAGCCTCTGTTGTTCTCGCATTCAAACGAACCTCTTCGTGCTGCAGCGCGCGGGGGTGAATCCGTGGCAGCGCGTGAGCGATTCGCGCACTGCCTCGCAATCGATGAGTAAAGTGCAGGACTCACCACCAGAGCGGGTAGGCAGCGTGGCCTGGACGAACCATGGGCAGTGGCATCAGCAGCAGCAGCAGCGGCGGCAGGAGCGCGCACACTGGACTGCGGCGGCAGCGAGCATCCATCTCTCTCCGCTCTCCCGGCACGGGAGGCCAGGTCACTTCGACTTCCGTGTCTCCAGCAAACTCCACTCTCTCCCTGCCGCGCGCGTCTCTCCCGCCCACCTTGCTCCGTCGCCACGGATCCCTCCTCGCTCGTTCCTCTCGCGCCGCTCCTCGATCAGCGCGCCTGGTTGTTGTTGTTGTTGTTGTTGTTGTTTTTTCTTCTGCGTCTTTTCTTTACTCTTCGTTTGAGTCACGAGTTCGGCTCGCGGTTTGGAGACGCGAGGTCGAGGCAAGAAATCGAGAACTCAAAAACAGATTGTTCAAAGTTGAACCGAAAAGGGAAGGATAGGACGAGACGAGGCGGCGGGGGGGGGGCGATCGTGCGTGCGGTTCCACTCGCGGCGCGCTGTCACTGAGTCTACGCTAGCGGCGATAATTGCGACAGGGCTCGGCTTAATGATGATGGGGAAGGCGCTCCTCCGTCTCCTCCCTGGCCTCTCTCGCTCCTCTCACGTCTCTCGCCTCCGCCACACACCACACCAGCGCCTCCTTGGAGTCGCGTCTGTAGCAGCCAGCAGCCAGCAGCAGCAGTGATCGTCCCAGAAAAAAATAGCGCAACAGCTAGAAATATCCCGCAGGGCTGGTTCCCATGACGACTCCAACAAAGTCATAATTAGTCATCTCCTTTTCGGAGTTTCCGCCATAACAAAGGGGGGAGAGATCGGGGCGAGGCGAGGCGGTGTGAACGGGGCCCGGCCAGAGAGGATCTCCCATATAAATCGACGCCCCGTGTTTACGCACAACAAAGCGCAGCGCCGAGTCTTAGCACTCACTCGCGAGCCTTTCTCACCTCCCCGGCGCCGTGGACCTCACACCCCCCCCCATCCCTCCCACCTCCCCCCTCCCCTCGTCCTCCCACCCCTCTCTGCACTGTGTGCCCCCCCCCTCCCCGTGTGCCTCCCCCCACCCCACTCTCCCTTTACTCCCTCCCCTCCTCAATCCGTCTTTCGCTGCCTTCCCTTCTCGCCTCCTTCTCAGCGGCGTCTCAAGTCGGGCACTCCAGCTGCGAAGGCTGCATGCATTAAAGCGACGGGGCAGAATAGAGGGGGCGAGGGGAGGAGGAATGGGGAGGATAGCCGGGTGGGGGGTGGGGGAGGGGTGTCTGTAGCGCTGCCCACCTCCTATCAAACGCTCCCAACACCGCAGCCGCGGGACAGGGGACTGCCTGCTCCCTCAACTAAGGCGCCGCCGAAATCCGCGCCGTTGACGCGAGTGTCCGTGAGGCTGGAAGAGCCCTGGATAATTTTACGCCGTTGCGAAAGGAGCCCCAAAAATAATGTGATGAGGTCAACGTCTCGACGTCTGTTTGTTATGCTCGAGTACGAGCAGGTGATCACTATCGTACCGCGTCCGTGTCTATAAATAGAGCTGTGCGTAAATGTGCGACGCGCGCGCTGAGCGTGCGGAGAGCGAACCCGGCGAACCGAGTTCGACTCCTCGCTCGCGGGGCAATGTCGGTGACGCATATCTGAACGTGGTCCTCCCCTGGGTCGATTCGGCTTCAAACGAGTAGCTGGTTAAATGAGTATCGCCAACGAGCGAACAAAAAACGGTCGGGGCGTGGTTCTTGCCACAGCAATCCATTGTGCGCAATTCGGCACCTTTATTGTTGTTCGCTGACAGCACTTGCCACAATCGTCTGTTAAGTCCATACGGCAGGTGTTTTTATTCGTCTATGTTGCACCACACCCTTGCGCAAGGGCATTGCACTGATTTTTGTGTTTAGTTTGTTGTCCGACCCCGCACCATCCGATTAGCACGATTGGCTAGGTACGGGTGCGAAAGAAGTTGAATATACATACATTGAGACTCGACGAGGCTCTCCGTTTTACCGAGCCGGGCGGTGGTGGCTATGATGCACGTGGCTGGCTGTAACCCAGCACTGTGGAGGCAGCAGCCAGGGTTGGTGGATCACCGCACAAATGTTGCTGAACTCCCTTCCTGTTGCTCACGACTCTGGCTTGCCACGACAAGTCGGTACAGCAGAGCTGTGGACTGATATCGCTTGACCGTTCTGTATATGGGATAGAGTGTTGCTCCCTCGCATGCGTGGGGTTTCTCCGGGCGCTCCGGTTCCCTCCCACACTTACCAACACTCATTGGGAACGCTGACTCACCGCCTGGCCGTTCGCCAGCTCGCGTCTGTGGTTCCTCGGTGGATGTGAGATGCGAATTGGTATGAACAATGACGCGACTATATAAAACTAATCATTGTTATTATAGGCATCGTCATAATTGCATGTCAATATACTTCTTGTGAGAAAATACTCTGACGTTTGCAGCAATCACCCGTTGCGTGTGTTTGTTCCTCCATATTCTCGGATCTTTCGGTAAAGTCACGTACATAAAAAAATAAAATAATAATAATAAAATAATACATTGAAAATAATCAAAGCAAAAACCCCATTATTAAAATTGTATTTAATTTTTTTATTTGTGTTTTATTTTTATTTTATTCCTGCAGTCACGAAAGTTTTAAGTCAAAATGTGTTACTCCAGTTGCCCCCCCCCCCCGTGTGTTTGAGAACGGTCCGTGGAAGGTGATGTCACAGAACTGCTTCTGAGGAGCAACTTCAATTGCCCCTTATTTACACTATAGGGCACACATTTATTTCACGTCCTGCTGCATATAAATAAATGTGCATCGTGCGGCAGCAATCCACACGATAGTTGCTTAATTATAATTACCAGAGTTGGAATTTTCGCCAAATCTATGGAGAAAACCAAATTTATTTCGAGGTGCGTATTGTTTCGTAATAATTGTGAACTCATGCCTACTTGAGAACCCGGTTTTATTGATGGGCGGCTGCGACCCCGGATTCTAAGGTGCCAGCTCAGTGCTCTGACTCATTGAGATGCCCTACCCCGACTCAGTGTGATCACCCTTAATGACTTGAACGAGGGGCCGCGATATTGAGGCACCCCTATACAATCCGGGCAAACAACACCTCAACAAACACGGACAGCTGCGCACCGCCACTGTTTCCGCGCCATCACCGGACGCTTGCTTACGACGTATGGGTAACTATGACAGCTGTCACGGGAGTGGAGCGGTGGTTGCAGTGGATGTTTTGTTTTCGCGTTGCGATATGAACCCAGCAACATCAGTTCCATTTCCTCACCACGGCGAACATCAATGGCGAGTGATTTCTGAATTGGTCCAGGAGCCCATCACTCCACCCCCTCCCCCACCACTTCACCAATCCGCACTGACGGACGTGGTGATGTGTGGTCAACCAACCCCCGATGACCGACACGGCATGGGCAACATCGAAATCGAGTAGTAGATTTTGAAAGGACCGGACATTGTTACTTTTGCAACATTCACAGCAATGCGTGTCGTGATATTGAAAGCGATAGAATAAGCTTCACTGCTCAGAGTGAGAGTCGATGGTTACTGGTCGGTAGTTGCATTAAGATGATGATTTGGTCTTGGGGCTGTCATGACGACTTATCGGTAGCGGGAATCTGTGCCTTGCTGACATCAGGCATTGAGAGGGAGTTATTGCAATTAAATGTTGATTTCAAAAGCGTATACGTGCAACGACATTTCAACATGCTGCATAACGCACGTGCTTTGTGGTACAGATGCGTGGTGATATCGGTGAATACAATGGTGATGGTATTAGTGGTTAGGGTGGTGGTCATAATTATGAACAAGGTGGCATTGCTTATCCCGATCCGCCTTCCATAATTGGTCTCCTTAGTTGAGCGAACTTGTTGCACGTGACTTGTATGTTGACTCATAGTTTGCGTTGCGCCCAACTTTGCAGCCTGCTTCGTAATAAATGTTCTCCGAAACAGATCCTCGAGTTAATTTCCATTGATTGTTACAATGACAATGTCGTCAGCACATTTGAGGTGGTTAATACTCTGTACATTTATGTTGATGTCTCTTATTTCCCCAATGCAATGCTTAGAACCATTTAACGCCGCTCGATGCGCGTGTCTAGCCTTGGTGGTTCTGCGCCTAACTCATCCTCTGATGTTTTGAAACATCCTGTAATCTTAGTGTAGTCACGTAGATACATGTTTTATTTTAATTATTTTTTTATGTTAATTTAATTTTTATTTTCTATCTACGTGAGTTTACCGAAAGAACCAAGAAATCTCAGTGTAGCTCGGCCAAGAGTACGATCACCGCAGAGATGGAGCGATGACATCAGCTCATGCGCATCACGTAGATGGATTGTGGCATTAAAAGTTCACAAACGATGTCGTCGGTGTTGCAGTGGATAAATCATAGGTCTTGACGATGGTGATATGGATTTTGATGAAGATGGTGATGGCGTTCGTAGTGTTGGTGATCATAACGATGTTGGTTATGACAATGGTGATGGCTATGGTTATGACAATAATGCGGATTGTGACACGGGTGATGATAATGATATGTATGGTGGTGTATGAGATGACGATGATGATAATGGCTGTGGTAATGATGATAAGGGTGATGATGATAATTACGTTGGAGCATTTAATAATGATGATTATAATTTAGGTGCTGATGATAATATTGGTAGGAACGAAGTTGTAAACTGAGTGTACCAGCCTGCAATAGATTAATGTGTCCGTCCGTCCCCTTTCAATACTTTAACGAAGTGAAATCTCGTGCTGTTGGGTGTAAAATCAGCAATAGACAGCGCAGAGACTTGTCCTACCAGCCTACCCTGCAGGGACCTGTTTACAGTGGCGCATGTGGAAGTCATGATGGTGAAAATGATAAGTGATGATGATGATGATAGTTGTGGTGGGTCGTGCGATAGTGATGGTGGTGGCGCATGCGATGATGATGATGGCGGTGACGGTGATGGTATGGGAGCGGTGGTGCAACGATTAGCGCGTTGCGCTACGAACCCGGCGGCTCGAGTTATATTCTTGCTCACGGCCAAACACCGGTGACGATCATCTAAATCGGTTCTGGGCATCCCCTAGGTCGACTCAGCGTCAAATTAGTAACCTGGTGCGATGTGTAAACATCGCCACTGGGAATACAAAGACGGTCGGGTGTCGGCTTGCCACCCACCCCCTCCTGTACCGTCCCGGTCTTCATAAGTGCTCGCTAACAGCACTTGCCCCAACAGTCTGTTCAGGCTACACGGGGGATCTTTGCTTTGGTGGTGATGGTAGCGTGGCTGCACTGCCACCTGGTGGACAGTCGCGGCACGAGTGGCCAGGTCCCGCCGAGACGCACGTGGGGACCGTCCATAAATGACGTCACGCACCTAGGGGGGGGGGGGGGGGGGTCAGACATTTGTGACGATGTGTGACGAGAGGGGGGGGGGGGTGAGAAATGTGACGTCACATCAAAATGCGCAACTTTAAATAAATATAGACAACACGTTCTACTTAATTAAATATATACTTTTTAATAAATGTTTTCTCCTACAACATCAGAGTGCAGCGCCACATTAAATACGCACTACAATGACAATAGTTTAAAGCGATTTGAAGCGTGTTTTTTTGGGGAGGAGGGGGCAGAGCTTTGTGACGTCATATTTGAGGGGGGGTGTCTGACTTTTGTGACGCCGTGTGACGAAGGGGGGGGGGGTCAAAAAATCGTCCAAAATCGCGTGACGTCATTATTGGACGGCCCCTTGGTGCGCGTTCACGTATCCATGATGTCACGCGTACCATGGGCAATGTGTATTATTGGTCGTCACAGGACTCAATGGTAACCGCTGGACACAATTCGGAGCAGGTTGACGTGCATCTTACGTTGAGCGTCGGGTATTGCAAATGCATTTTTTTTTAAGTCTCGGGGACAATGGTCAACTCGGCACATCATCCTTCGGGGTTGTGTAAAATGAGTAACACCACTTTGTGCGAGGTCAACAGTGGGTTGTCCCTCTGGTTGGACGCACCCCCGCCATAGGAACATGGCATTCCCACCAACGATCGCTGATGTGAGTACCGGTCCTTATTATAATAATAATCGTACTCGCTGGAGGCCGGAGACCGTTTAACGTTTTGAAACATTCTGATCGGGGTTAGACGAGGAATCGAATCAAGTTTACAACAGACGATGCATCAAATCGCAAGTTGCGATGTATTATTTATTCCATCGTTTTTCACAATAAATTCTTGCAGTGGAGGATCGCGTTCGCCCTGCCGCCGCTAGAGGCCGCTATGATCAATGCAATCGGCAACGGTGGGTTGCGGCGGGGATGACAGAGGTTGAGCGACCCAAATGTCGGTCATGGAGGGAATTTGACCATACTTCACCACGCTGGTCAGAGCGGTTTGGGGGAAAGGAGGGGGGGGGGAGCGATGCACGCGGCTTCAGCTGCCACCACTCGCCGCCACTGTCAGCGGCGACCTGGAACTCCACTCCCCCCTCCCCTCCCTCCCTTTTTCCCTCCCTCCCTCCTCCCCCCTCCCTCCCTCCCTCCTCTCCCTCCTCCCCTCCCTTTCCCTCCCTCCCCTCCCTCCTCCCCTCCCTCCCTCCCTCCCTCCCTCCTCCCCTCCCTCCCCTCCCTCCCTCCCTCCCCTCCCTTCCTCCCTCCCTCCTCCCCACCCTTACTCCCTCCCTCCCTTCTCCCCTCCCTCCCTCCTCCCCTCCCTCCCTCCCTCCCTCCTCCCCACCCTTACTCCCTCGCTCCTCCCCTCCCTCCTTCCCCTCCCTCCCTCCCCCCCTCCTCCCCTCCCTCCCTACCTTCCCTCCCTCCTCCCCACCCTTACTCCCTCCTCCCCTCCCTCCCTCCCTCCCTCCCCTCCCTCCCTCCCTCCCTCCCTCCCTCCCTCCCTCCCTCCCTCCTCCCCACCCTTACTCCCTCCCTCCCCTCCCTCCCTCCCTCCCTCCCTCCTCCCCACCCTTACTCCCTCCCTCCTCCCCTCCCTCCCTCCCTCCCTCCCTCCTCTCCCTCCCTCCTCCCCACCCTTACTCCCTCCTCCCCTCCCTCCCTCCCTCCCTCCCCTCCCTCCCTCCCTCCCTACCTTCCCTCCCTCCTCCCCACCCTTACTCCCTCCCTCCTCCCCCTCCCTCCCTCCCTCCCTCCCTCCCTCCTCTCCCTCCCTCCCTCCCTCCCTCCCTCCTCCCCACCCTTACTCCCTCCTCCCCTCCCTCCCTCCCTCCCCTCCCTCCTTCCCTCCCTCCCTCCCTCCCTCCTCCCTACCTTCCCTCCCTCCTTCCCCCCTCCCTCCCTCCCTCCTCCCCTCCCTCCCTCCCTCCCTCCTCCCCACTCTTCCTCCCTCCCTCCTCCCCTCCCTCCCCCCTCCCTCCCCCCCGCGAGGAAGGAACACGAGGAGTGCCCGAGTGGTGTTCGGCAGAGTCGCAGCGCCACAACCCAACGCGTCGCAATCATCTTCGAGCTCGCGGCGCGGCGGATTCGCCCCCCCCGCCCCCCCCCCCGTAAGGAAGGAAGAATGTAACACCGCTGGGTACTTACTCATTAGCGCGCTGAGAATGAGGGGCTTAATGCGCGGAGCGGAGTGGGTTACCCATCGCTCAAGTCCCATTTTGGCTGTCAGGCATGACAATCGAAACGTCTCACGAGACGTCTGGAACGCGGCGCTCAACACGCAAGCGCTTTCACCAGTTATACCGCATCCTCCGGATTATAAGACGCACCACACCCCCCTTACTGCCCCGCCCCCCCCCTCTCCTGCCTTATGTTTTCAAGCAATCGTTGCGGGGTGCGTCTTATAACCCGGTAGCTGTGTGTGTGTGAGACCATATTTGTGTATCTTTATTGACACTGGGAAGGACATTTTGAGTGCCTCTTACTTTCTGGAGTGTCTTATAATACAGGGAGCATAAGGTGGTTGTAATATTATTAAAAATATATTTTTGACTTTAAACTTTCGTGACTGCAGGAATTCATATTCTTGGTTCTTTCAGTAAAGTCACGTAGATAGAAAATGAAATTAAAATTTATTTTTTATTAAAAATTTATTTTCTACGTGACTTTACCAAAAGAACCAAGAATATAATATTATTTAAAATACCGGAATACGAATAATAAATAGCCCCTTGTGAAACCTCTGCTGGGTGAAGGCCTCTCCGCTCCGTATGGATCATGGCGGGTTTTGTTTTACCATTCTCCAACACGAATATCAGTCCGGATTGGTGAGTAGCTGGTGCGTTGTGCAAACATCGCCCCTCGGGAGACAAAGACGGCCGGGGATAGTGCTGGCCACACACCCATCCCTTGTGTGCCTTGCCGGCCTTCGTGGGTGTTCGCTTTGATTTCCCACCACCCCACCTGCACTGCCGACTTCTGCACAGTTGGCTACGTACGGCGCGAAAGAAGTTCAACATACATGCTCACTCACGGCACTTGCCCCAAAAGTCTGTTGATGCTATACGGGGGGATCTTTGTGTTGGACGGCAGGGCAGAACCTGATACCACTCACCGCCGGCGTCATCCTGGGTCGCGCGTCGAACTCATGTGGTCGAGTTCAGAGTGCGGTGTGCTAACCACTGCGCCACTGGTCCACGCCCTGCGTGAACACGCATGCCCGTCATGAATGCTCCATGGACACGAGAGCATTTTGAAAGTCACCTGCAGCGGGGATCTGTCCGCTTTATATCGACTTCAGCGTCGGACTCCGCTCGAGGCAAATTACTCGGTTCACCGACGGCGACCGTTCGTTTTGAGCAACACGCGTGAAGCGACGCGACACTTTAGGGTCACCGTGCCCCCCGTAAAAGGGGGAAACCTATCGGCAGCAGAGCAAACTTTATTAGGAATCTTTTTTGAGACTATTCATTCGGAGTTCTAAAAAATATATATTTACAATAGTTGCGCAGACTCGATTGTGCGTAGAATATATACAAATGTCAGCTGTCTAACGCTTCCACAACATTGCTACGCAATTCACGCGTCAAGTCACTCACGACGGATCTATATTTTAATGAATGAGCCGGGTGTGGGTGATGCACGTCTGTTATCCGTCGCTTGGGAGGCAGGGGTTGGTGGGTCGCGCAGACGTGTGAAACTCACAAAATCATCCGGCATGTAAATCGTCCAGCAGATGGCGGTACATTTCGCGTGTTCGCGAACGTGTCTGTGCGGATGTCGGTTATCCCCTTTTTGCGTGTGTTGCGCTATCCAAATCCTTCGACTCCCTCGTGATTCTGCGATGTAATAATCCACATAGAACGTGCGCACGAGCTGATATCATAGCTCCATCGCCTCGGCGGACGTGCCTCGATTCTTTGGATGGCTCCTCCGTTTCATCCTCGACCATCGTTCATTATCCCATCCTGGCTGCGTGTCCTGCCCAAACCCACTTGCACACACACACACAAAAACACAATAATGGTGTCAATAACCTGAGTATGTTATATAATCCCCTCTAACCATCTGTTCTGTCTCTCAGTGTAATTCCCTTTCTCTCTCTTTCCACGCTATTTTGTGCACTTTTCAGTTGTCTTCCATGTTGATTTGTTCACGTCCGCGTTTCTGAACCAATTGTGAAAGCGGGCAATCACGGCACCGATCGAACGCCATCTTGGCTCCTTGCTTTTTCATGAACCGCCGATTCATGATTGCCATTGTGAAATGCATGCCTGCTCTACAGAAGCAGCACAAAGCCGTTTGCAGTGCAGCTGGACCAGTGTCGAGATTGCCGAGTGGGACGTCTGAGGGCAGGCATGGGGGACACGTGGCCCCTTGGGCCCTCTTCCACCGCGCACGAATCCCGCCCCGCTCCGTAACTCCATCTCCTCCTCGCGGCCTTCGAGCGTCGAGCTCCTAGGGCCTCATTCCTTTATCGCGCGCGTGCAGAGCTCCTCGCACGGCGAGAACGCCGCCACATGTTGCCGCTGGTGACACACAACTTCTGGGAGATTTTTTTTAATCATTTCAATACCACTCCTGCAAAGGTCGACTGCGGTGAACGAACACTTTTTTTATATATAGAACAAGATCTGAAAACCCAGATCTTAAACTTTCTCAACGTGGTTCAGTACCAAAACCGCAAGTCCCCTCCCCCACCACCTTGAGTTTAAATCAAAGCCGCTGCTATTCTAGCGCTGGGAGGGGGGCCTGGGCACATTAACGTGCGCGCTTCCAGATGCGATGTAAGCCGCTCGCCTCTTCGTTAATTACACTCGGGGCGCACGGCACGGCAATAATAATAATAATCACATGCAGACGCGCGCCGGCCAGCACGGCCGTGCGCACAGCTTAAGGTTCGTCAACAGCCAGAGGGAAGCGACAGGAAATAGCCAGGTGCGATAGGCGACCACCAGGTGCATGCAAGAGGTTGTGAGGTAGGCAACAGCAGAGGTAGGCACCGGCCAGGTGTAGATAATAGCCAGGTGTAGATAATAGCCAGGTGTAGATAATAGCCAGGTGTAGATAATAGCCAGGTGAAGGCACCGGCCAGGTGTAGATAATAGCCAGGTGTAGATAATAGCCAGGTGTAGATAATAGCCAGGTGAAGGCACCGGCCAGGTGTAGGCACCGGCCAGGTGTAGATAATAGCCAGGTGTAGATAATAGCCAGGTGTAGGCACCGGCCAGGTGTAGATAATAGCCAGGTGTAGATAATAGCCAGGTGTAGATAATAGCCAGGTGTAGATAATAGCCAGGTGTAGGCACCGGCCAGGTGTAGGCACCGGCCAGGTGTAGATAATAGCCAGGTGTAGATAATAGCCAGGTGTAGGCACCGGCCAGGTGTAGGCACCGGCCAGGTGTAGATAATAGCCAGGTGTAGATAATAGCCAGGTGTAGATAATAGCCAGGTGTAGGCACCGGCCAGGTGTAGGCAACAGTAAAGTGGTTGACAACAACCTGTAATAGACGGCAATCACGTGGTAGCAAACAGCCAAGGTGTCGGCAAGAGCTGTACGGGGTTCGGCAGTAGCCGCCAATGACCATGAACCAGATGCGTCAACACCGTGAGTAGCGGCCGGTCGCACGTGGCACGGACCGTGCTGTGCGCGGCTTCACGTTCCGATGGACGCCCCCCACCCACCCCCCCAGAGCTTCGCAACGTCGTCGTTGCGTTTCACAAGCGCAGACCGCCGCTGCCACACGCGGCCTTCACAACGACCGAGAGTCGCAAGGGCGAGAAGAGTCCTCGCCGATGTCGGCTCCAGTCGACATCTGTGTTGGCGCCGGGGAGAGCCCCCCCAAGTTCGCCCGTATTTGGTTCAATTTCACGGTGCGCGGACGATCCGTGCGCGTGTCAAATGAATCTCGCACGTGCGCAGGCGCCAAGCGGATTGGTGCTTCGCGACACCCTCAAGAGACGATGACAGCTTGGGGAGACCTCCACGACGACCACTGGCTGTGGCATGATGACTATCCCTATAGCTCTTGCCTACAGCTGGCCGTTGGCTATCACTGCCCGTTGCCTACCGCCTGACAGTATTCAATTGCAAGTGTCAGCTCATACGCAGGCGTGAGATGGCCTGTAGCAGGACAATCAGGGATGACGACACGGGGATACCTTCATCCAGCAGCAGTGGCTAGATCACAGCTTACGACGATTATGATGATGATGTTGGTGCTTTACACAAGGCAGCGCATGCCAACTGTGCAAAAAGCAGTGTGAGCATTTACTATAAGGCCCACACAGCATTGTGCGCTTGAAGGGAAACATCTATTTTCGTCATTGTTTTAAATACTCGCCTACATAAGGGGAAGCGTGTGTGTGTGTACATAAACATTCGGCGATTTCTATTGCGTGTAACTCCCACACGGCGTTAGATCCATTTCTCTTTGTAAACTCCCCCCCCCCCCCCCATCTCTCTCTCTCTCGAGGTCACGCGAAGACAATCGAGTGCAGCAGGAAACCTGGGAACCTCGATAAACCCAGCGACGTCAACTCGAGAGGGCCCGTGGCACTTCGCGAGCTCCGTTTGCGCCTCCAGCTGCGCTGGGGGGGAAGGGGGTGACGCGAACCACGTGGAGCAGCTGTGGAGAGTCAAGGAGAGGGCACGCGGCCTGACTCCTCGCCGCTTCAAACGAGCAGCAGCAGCAGCAGCAGGGCGGTGGAAATTCCACACGCCCGTGGGCGAGGTTCGGTCCGTTCATCGGAAATATCATCGGTCACTTGCCACCGATGTGGTACTCGTTCTTCGACCGAGTCGACACCTGGCTGAGACTTGGAACTTTGCAAACTTTTGAATGCGATTCCGGAAGTCTGCGAGGGTCACGCTCTCATCAAAGCACCACGCGGTACGATCTCACGTTTAGATATTGTAACACGATGTTTTTTTTGCGGCGCAAACAACGACCGTTGTCAATCCGCTGCATGGATCGAGGCATCCCCACGCCTTTCTGTCACGGAGAGTTGCGTGATCGAACTTCTCCATGGTGAATAGTGGCCCCCAGGACCGGTTCAAATATCAGCCGCCGCTGACGGTAACCACGCGCGCCACCACATCCCCCGTTAACTTGTGTGTGTGTGTGTGTGTTATTTTACTGTTAACGTGTGGATGTGTAAGTTATTTTACTGACATTTGACAAAGCAAGCTGAGAGAGGTTGAAGGGCAGGGTGATGGCAATGATGACCAACAAACTAACATTTCTCAACGAGGTCACCACTTACTCAAGATATGTATTTTTAGTAGTCATTTACATATCCAGGAATGAGCCAGGGAGTCTTTTGAACGCAACAATAGAGCCTTGTTTGGAAAATTTATCCAGTTACTGGCCAGATATCGCAAGCATGGAGATGTCGAGAGAGAACCCACTAAAAAGTGCAAGGTGTTAACACTTACAGCAAATTTAGGATCCTACTTGATGTACTGCCTTCTACCTCGAGGCAACACCTCGTTTCTCTGCAAGAGGGTTCAACAACAACAACCACCATCCGCTACTAAGTGGCGGTGACGTCACCACGACGCTTGTGCCAGGCTATGTGCACGTTGAGGCCACGTGAAGTGTCGAACGCCCGCTGGCAGGAGATTACGGGGCAGACCCAGATGCCACAGGTCGACTGACTGAGACGACTGGCTGATGCACCAGCTGTGCCGCCTACTGTGCCAACTTGCTGTGCTTTAGCTACCCAGCGCTCCGCTCGTTGTTGTGAGCGTCGCTCCTCCGTCTTCCGTTGTGGTTGGAGGGCGATTGCCTCCAACTGCCCAGTAGCATCCTTCACGAGCCTCCTCCACAGAGGCCGATCTTGACACCGCTGGTACCAGTCATCGGCAAGTCCACTCAGCTCCACATCCTCCTGTAACACATCACTCCATCTCTTCTCTAGCCCGTGCCGCGCCCGTTTAGCCCCCTCGATCCGGCCGAACAAAAGCTATTTAGGCATGCCGGTGGCTGGGCATGCGGGTTACATGGCCCAACGCAGCCTTGCCTGCCGTAGGAGCTCACCGATGGGCCTTTGTTTAGATCTTTCAAGGATTTGTGAGCTCACACAATCCAGCCTGGTTAAACTCAGGATGGACCGTAGGCAGGCCAGCCTAAATGTTTCTAACCGGCGAAGATGTTCCATTAGGGGGGTCCACGTTTTGCAAGCGTAGAGAAGGGAGGGAATGACCGTGGCCGGGAAGACCTGAATCTTCGTGCGGAAGGTAGCTTCCACACAACGTTACGCAACCGATGAAAAGATAATGCCACTTGACTGATTCGGAGTGAGACATCTGCTGTTAAACCGGAGGCGGTCATGAGCACACTGCCCAGGTATGGGAAACTCTCCACTCTCTCCACAACTGCCCTATCACCAATTGGGAGTTGTGGGGGTGGAGTGTTTGATGGTACAAAATACCCAGGCAGGTGGTTAGTTTTGGTGGGGCTGATGGTAAGGCCCCACCTCTTGGTGGCAAGCTCCAGATTCAGCAGCAGCGCCTCCAACTCCTCCTCTGAGTGAGCAGCAATTACCAGATCATCGGCATACAGTACATAACATGGTTAAGCAATAGGGAGCCATCCCTTGACCGCACCCGGGCATCGATAGCCTCCCATTGTATCTGTACCAGATGGAGATTCCTCCGGTACAGCTATTAAAGGCTTCACGAACTACGTGGTCAAAATAGATGTTAAATAATGTGGGAGCCAGATAACATCCCTGTCGCACCCCAAGGTGTACAGGGAATCTTTCCAATCCTGCAGAACCCGTCCAGTGCTCCAGACTGTTGTTATGATGTCATGTAGGGCATTCTGTGCGCAAACGCCACCCTCCCTCAGCATTTCGCTTGGGAGATTATCTCTGCCTGGTGCCTTTCCTGGTCTCAGACTCTAGATCGCCTTCAGTACTTCTTCAACAGATGGCACCTCAGCCAGCCATTCACAGGGGGTAACTTCTTCCTCCAATATTTGAGGCACCGCAGCCTCGGCAGGGTCATCCCCACGTTGTCCCACGTTGCTTTCCTGGGTGAGAGAGCAAAACAACCCCCTACCTCCTCGTGGTGCCGGACGGGCAACGCTGTCGTGGGCAAATTCCGACTGGCCTTTCCCCTCATGGCGTTTGTAACCACCACAGCTGCCAAATTGGGGCTCTGGACGGGTGCGAGGGGCTGGTAACCCCTCCACCTTCAATTAATTACCACTAAACCACGACCACAAAATGTAATAAATAAGCTTATTCCGGAGGCCCTGGGGAGACAGGCGTCTATGACGTCTCCTGGCCAAACCCCATTTGGCGGAGCCAGGAGTATGAATCTTTACCCTCGGGGCTCCTCCAGAAACAACAAAAAAACACTACGTGTGGCCACGTGGAATGTTCGAATGCTCACTGCGGAGGAGAGGCTGCCACTCCTCTGTCGGGAGCTGGACCGATACCGCCTGGATCTCTGTGGTATTCATGAGGTCCGGTGGACCGGCTCTGGCTCCTGCCACCATGAGGGGTGGACAGTCCTCTACTCGGGGCAGGAGACTACCAAACAAGCAATTGGGTTCACACACACACACCTCGGAGTGACCCACAAAGCCCGAGGCATCGATAGAATTTTTTTTAGCTCCAATCAATTGCATTCAATCAACATCTATTTATAAATGTCCTTAACGATCAAGTTAATTGAGATCAAGTACTCTAAATAAAAATGTACTAACACTAATATTTGTGTCCGTGCAAACCAATCAGCGCACATTACCCTCTATGACGTGTGGATCAGAATAGCGGAAGAAAAGCTGAAACGTGTGCAATTAAATGTATAAGCAGAAAGAGGAGCACGTTGCCTTGAGAACGTACTCGGGCTACGGATTACACATTGACTTGTTAAGAAAAGCAAAGTCGACTTGTGCAGAACACATCGCTCGAAGGGCTCCTCTAGCTGACACTAACGACATCGTGGCAGCCACAGGAGGGGAAGGCACCCCAGCAGCACCTCCACCATGGAGACGGAGTGCTGAAATCAACTCGCGTGCAGGTGCCATGTGGATTGTTACATCACTGGATCATGATAATTGGGGGTGGGGGGGGGGGGGGTGACTTGGGGAGGAATTCATCCAGCAGTGGATTTGTCATTGCTGATCATGACCATTTGTGTCGATGCAAGTGTGGAGGGTAGGGGGGGAGGGGTTCAGTGTGAGGTTAACGTCCAGCGACAAGTGGATGGGCGGTGGAGTCAGGGGGAGTTCTCAGCAGCTGAGGGTTTCGCGAACTCTCACCTCGCCGCAGCACACGAGGCTCCCGTCGCTCACCACGGCGCTAACAGCGCGCCCGTCGCAGCCCGGGCGCGCGGAGCCACGTGCCGTGAAATAATTCACCGCGCCGCCCCTATCAACACGATACAGTAACTTTATTCTCTATGTACATCGTGTTCATATCACCGTTATAGAAAGAAAGAAAGAAGAAAAAAAGGAAACCACACGTGTGCGGCACGCGCTCGCTCACCTTGACAGCACAGTGGTGGTTCCCGTGTAAAAGCGCGCACGGGGGGGGGGGGGGGGGTTCCCGTGCGTGCATGGGTGAATCGAGCGCAGACAGACGCATCCGAGTCCCGCATGCCCCGATGCGTCATCCTCCTTCTTCGAGCATCCCTCTCCTCCAAGCGGGTTGGGTGGTCGTTCGCATAGGGCCTTATCTCACGCAGGGCCAGCGCATTCACATGCGAGATATGGATCGTGGGGCCTTTTGTTGGCGTGGGAAATGCGCCCACTCCCCCACCTATTTCGATTTTGTTTTTGCTTTCTTAATGATGAGTCTTTTTTTTTTTAAACAACAACAAGAAGAAGAAGAAGAAAGCCACGATAGATGGCTCCACGGGGACTCGTCTGAGACGTTCTCGAGTGCCGGCCGCGTTCTCTTCTCTGCAGCTCAACCGCGAGGACGTGTGGAGGGGTTGGGGAGACGCAATTGTAAAAATTGAGAACAGCAAACTAAAAATACAACAGATGGCGAGATTATTCACCGGCACATTCACGGCGCGCGTATTCTTGCGCTGACGTGCGGCGGCGCAACGGGACCGCGCGGGCTGTGAAAGTTGCTCATCGTCGACACGCGGCACATTCAGTTGATCATTGCGCAGTGGTGTGTGTGTGTGTGTCGTCCTCTCTCTTGTGGGGGGTGGGAGCACAGCGGTCTACAAACACAGCAACCGGAGTTCAATTCCCGCTCGTGGCCAATAACAGTGAAGATTATTTGAAACGGTCCTGGGTCTTCTCTAGGTCGACGCAGCCTCACGTGAGTACCTGCTGCAGCGTGTAAACATCGGCACTAGGGAGACAAAGGCGGCCAGGCGTGGTGCTGCCCACGCACCCCCTCGCGTGCCGTGCCGGCCGTGAAAGGTGCTCGCTACCAGTTCTTGCCCAACAGTCTGTTAAAGGCTATACAGGGAATCTTTATCTTTGTGTGTCCTCTCTCTCTTGCCATCACCATCGGCGGTGGAAATAACACATTGCTATGGCGGGGGTTAGTCTCTATATAGGAGAACCATTGTTGACTGATATTTAACTGGTGTTCGGATTATTGATTCTGGGGAGACAATGGCTGGGATTTCAACGTGTGATCTTCTGACCACAGGTTAAATGCTATACACGCATGCACATACGTACATACGAACACGCACGTGCACACCACTAAACACACACACACCACGAGTCTTTAGGCGCCAGTCCTTCACGAAGCCCTCTCTGGCTTCATCCATCGGCGCTTCCCCACCATCGCTGCTCGCGACGGGGACAACGACAACAACGACAGCGACTGGCAAGCGGAGTCCGTCCTCACGGCCGGTCAGGGGCATCGCCGCCGCCGCCGCCGCCGCCGCCGCGTCACTTGCACACGTTGACCCACGCGCTGCTGTGGCACTCCTCGCACACCACGTAGCAGCACCAGTGGAACTTGCAGTTGCAGCGCTCCATGCGGCTCTCGCTGATCTGGTTGTGGCCGCGCCCGCAGCACATGCTCTCGCAGCCGTCCGCGCCCGAGCTCGTCCGGTTGCACACCCTGCCCTGGGTGCCGGGCCACTCGCTGCCCGCGCCGCGTTCGCAGAACGTGGGCGAGCGCTCAAAGTACAGCAGCTCCCCATCGTCGGGGGGCCGGTAGCGGCGGCCGGTGACCTGGGCCGAGGAGGAGCCCTGGTGGTGGTGGTGGTGGTGGCCTCCGCCGGACACCAGAGCCAGCGCCGGCACGCCGTGCCGGTTGTGCGGGGCCAGGAACGCGGCGAGGTGAAAGCGGTCGCGCAGCGTGTCGCCCACCGTGCGGAAGTCGGGGCTCACTTGCCAGCATGTCTTGAGCTGGCAGCTCCCGGAGGTGCCGTGGCACTTGCACTTGCGCCTCTTGTGCTCCAGGACGACCTGCGGGAGCGGCAGGGAGAAGAGGAGGAGGAGGAGGGGGGGAAGTGGCGGTTGTGCGGTATGGTTAGCTTCTGGGCATTGATGGACTTTATGTCGCGGTCGGAAAAGGGGCATCTCAAAAAATTCCAGTCACACTTAAACAGTTTCGTTTACAAGGGAAAGCTGGGTCATGAAAGCAGCACGGAATGTAAAACGTAAAAAAAAAAACCCACAGCATACGATATAAAAGAGGAATTCTGAAACAACCGTGAAGTATGATTCGATTAAACATGGAGTGAAACGCGTTTCAGTGAGACATTTTAAAATGAGGGCACGAGGGGGCACGGTTTAAAGCATCTTCACATTCTCCAATCAATGGGTCCAACTGCCGTTAAACAACAGATGTGGAGATAATTATCTTGTTAAACGTAGAGGAGATTCAACGTGGTTGCTCATAGCAGGAGCATCGCGGCAGAAAAAAATACCGTACATTACTTTGGATTGAGTGCAAATACACAGCAACCAGAATTTGATTCCCTACCACGGCTAACATCAGTGGCGAGTGATATCTGAACCAATCCTGGGACCCCCCCTCCCCCAGTCATCAATCCGCACTGCAACAGCGTGTTCATCAAGTCGTGTTCTAAACGAGCTCCACGATCTACGATATGCAAGGAGGCCTTCATCCAGAAGTTGTAATGACAAAGGGCTGTGAATGGTTATGTTCGTGGATTACAAAGACCCCAGATTTATAGGCTGGCGTAGTGAGAGCGGTGGTTTGCGCCACGCGTCGTTATGATTAAAGCTCTGAACCCTTTTATTCTCACCGTCGCCGCAGGGCCCGATACGTTTTTTTATATACGAACAAGCGAGGCCCTCGATAAATTAACCCAGGGTGCAGCGGCGCCTGCCAGCAATCTGGCGCTTTGGAGGTAACGGTCGGAGGATCGCGCAGAGATCTGTGAAACTCCCAAACCCACTGGGGTTACGAAGTGGCTAGGGGAAGGCAGTAAAACGAGTGGGCCCGTGAACGCGTCTGAGCCACACATTCGTTGTTATCCCCCCATACGCGTGTTGGGTTTTCTCCGGGAGCCCCAGGGGTTCCTCCCACGTAACAAAAAAATGCCCCTCAAAGTTACTTGCCAAACAACCCAAAGCAGGATTCTCATGAAGACGTTTCTTGAGACTCGTTGAGACTGCCCTGGCTAGAGTAGGAGGATTATAACGTTTATTCAAAGTGGATTTAAGCATTTCCCCTACGAGGTGTCCACACAGCTGGGCCAGCGCCCTCCCCCGGCATCTGAAATCCATTTTGGCTCCAGTGTGTCCCCAAGCTTATAACGTAATTGAAACATAAGCATGTAGCATCCATATTTAAACATGATCGAATCGCCGTTTTATAGATTGTATCTATTCTATGTCAAGCCGATTAGACAAAACTTCTGTGCGTGAATAAATACGTATGCATGTTATTATTAAAGTGCGGATTGTTTGTGTGTGAAACGTATGTATGTTGCACTTTTTTCGAATGACGTGTAGCCAACCTTGCTAACCGGCGGTGCAGGAAAACAACAGCCAGAGTTCGATTCCCAGCTACGACGAACATCGGCGGCGAGCAATGTCCGAAACAGTCCTGGCCTCTGCTGTTTTCACCAATCCACAGTGACCAGCGTGGTGAGGTACGGTCAAACACTCCCTACCACGATCAACACGAGTCGAGATCCCTTTGTTGTCACTCTGCAATGGCAAGAAGAGGTGGCTGCCGTGTTCATGTTCCTACACTCGGAGCACCACAAGTCATCCGCCTTCACATACGTAATTCACTGATACGAATGTCGAAACGACGTGGATCAAAGATATTCGCAGGGCAGGCGGAGGCGAAGGCCGAAGCGACGGATACGAGAAAGGACGGACGATGCTGTCAGCGACGTTGAGTGCGGGTTGGGGCGACGCAAAGCAGGTCGTGGTGTTAATAAAGCGACGACTTTTTGCGAAACGCCGTCAAATTAGGAGACGTAAATTGGGGTCTTACTGGAATATGTCGAGATAATATTTATTCTGAGGTGTTTTCCATTAATTCTGTAAGATTTAAATAATATTCTGGCAAAACAATCACATTCAGAATAGCACACGTAAAAAAAAGAATCCCGATATTAAATGAACCATGTCAGGCTTCTGTATTAATTCCATGTATTCGGTGTTGCTATTGTTATTACTATTAATATTATCATTTTGTCTCCCGAACTTCTTCTTCTTCTTCTTCTGCCGTTTCAAGTAAAATTAATGTGTATTTGTCCCACGTATAATCCCGATTAGCCAATTACCCAGCTACTTTCGGTGGCTCGGACCCATAGCCACAAACAACAGAGATATTGTTGGGCTGGAGATGAACCCAGCCAGCGGCCAGCCAGGAAACTCGAGGCATAGTTTGATTGTTTGTAAGACTAGTGTGACGACAATGTTTTACAAGAATGTGTTCTGAACGAGCGGGCGTTCTTTCAGAACCACCACCTGAATGTCGCGCACGCGCGGTGTGACGAGTGGCGCACGCGCTATAGGAGACATCTGGGCTGGTGTAGGTGGGGGAGAGAGGTGAGTGTCTGCAGAGTTCGCGCGCACACACGGGTACGCACACACACACACGGGCACACACACATACGGGCATGCACACACGGGCACGAACACGCACACACGGGTACGCACACACACACACGGGCACACACATACGGGCATGCACACACGGGCACGCACACGCACACACGGGTACGCACACACACACACGGGCACGCACACACGGGCACACACACGGGCACGCACACGGGCGCGTACCTCTGGGAACACTTGCAAAGCAAATGGGGACACTGTTGTGCATTTTTGTGGCGAGAAGGCATCGCTGCTGCATCTGCAACTCGTAACTCCTCGCCCCCGGGGCTCAACCGCGCCCAGTTAAGGGCCGTTGTAAGATTAGTAGGGCCGGGGCTGTATGGGCTACATGGGTTGTATGGGCTACATGGGCTGTATGGGCTACACGAGTTGTATGGGCTACATGGGCTGTATGATCTACATGAGTTGTATGATCTACATGAGCTGTATGGGCTACATGAGTTGTATGGGCTACATGAGCTGTATGGGCTACATGAGTTGTATGATCTACATGGGCTGTATGGGCTACATGAGTTTTATGAGCTATATGGGCTGTATGGGCTACATGAGTTGTATGGGCTACATGGGCTGTATGGGCTACATGAGTTGTATGATCTACATGGGCTGTATGGGCTACATGGGCTGTATGGGCTACATGAGTTGTATGGGCTACATGAGTTGTATGAGCTATATGGGCTGTATGGGCTACATGAGTTGTATGGGCTACATGGGCTGTATGGGCTACATGAGTTGTATGAGCTATATGGGCTGTATGGGCTACATGAGTTGTATGAGCTACATGAGCTGTATGGGCTACATGGGCTGTATGGGCTACATGAGTTGTATGAGCTATATGGGCTGTATGGGCTACATGAGTTGTATGGGCTACATGAGCTGTATGGGCTACATGGGCTGTATGGGCTACATGAGTTGTATGATCTACATGGGCTGTATGGGCTACATGAATTGTATGATCTACATGAGCTGTATGAGCTATATGGGCTGTATGGGCTACATGAGCTGTATGGGCTACATGAGCTGTATGGGCTACATGAGTTGTATGGGCTACATGAGTTGCATGGGCTACATGAGCTGTATGATCTACATGAGTTGTATGGGCTACATGAGTTGCATCGGCTACATGAGCTGTATGAGCTACATGAGCTGTATGAGCTACATGAGCTGTATGGGTTAAATGGGTTACATGAGCTGTATGTGCTACATGGGCTGTATGGGCTACATGGGCTGTATGGGCTACATGAGCTGTATGGGCTACATGAGCTGTATGAGCTACATAGGCTGTATGAGCTACATGGGCTGTATGGGCTACATGAGTTGTATGGGTTAAATGGGCTACATGAGCTGTATGGGTTAAATGGGCTACATGAGCTGTATGGGCTATATGGGCTGTATGAGCTACATGAGTTGTATGGGCTACATGAGCTGTATGAGCTATATGGGCTGTATGGGCTACATGAGTTGTATGGGTTAAATGGGCTACATGAGCTGTATGGGTTAAATGGGCTACATGAGCTGCATGAGCTACATGGGCTGTATGAGCTACATGAGTTGTATGGGCTACATGAGCTGTATGAGCTATATGGGCTGTATGAGCTACATGAGTTGTATGATCTACATGAGCTGTATGGGCTACATGGGCTGTATGGGCTACATGAGCTGTATGGGCGACATGGGCTGTATGGGCTACATGGGCTGTATGGGCTACATGAGCTGTATGGGCTACATGAGCTGTATGGGTTAAATGGGCTACATGAGCTGTATGGGCGACATGGGCTGTATGGGCTACGTGGGCTGTATGGGCTATATGGGCTGTATGGGCAACATGGGCTGTATGGGCTACGTGGGCTGTGTGCTTGGGAGAGCGACCTCCATGCGCAACGGGTTGCCTAAGATAGGTGTGAGTCACCACCCCATCCACGTGCCACAAATACACGTCCCTGATGTGCAGGAGGGACATTGCCAGAGGCGTTCCCATGCATGCTTCATGTTTTCAGTAAAAAAAAAAGCTGCGCGCGTTAATGACGCCCCTAGCAAAGTGTTTTCAGACTGCACGTACACACGCACATACTTACAAAAGACATCCCCAAATAGAGCCTTTGACAGACTCTTGGAGCAAATGCTGTTCGCGAGCACCTATTAAAGCCGACACGGCACGCGAGTGGGGGTGGGTGGCCAGCACCACATCCAACCGCCTTTGTCTCCCCAATGGCGATGTTTACACACCGCACCAGCTACTCATTTCAGGTTGAGTCGGCCTAGAGGAGGCCCAGGACCGGATCAGATAATCATCACAGGTGTTGCACGTGTGTATGTGTAGAACTTCATTTGCACCGTACGTAGGTGTTGGCCGTGAGCGG